TAGGCCTTCAGTCCCACCAAAGGAATAGAGCAGGCTAAGTCCCTGTGCCAGTGGTTCCAGTAGGGAAAACCTAGCACAGTCAAAGGAGTGTTGGGTGTGGATTTAATGAAGGGACTATTGGCAGAGGCATGGGTATACTTAAGAGAATGAGTCAGGCCAGTGCAGATTTCCGGGACTAGAAAGGGTGGGAAGCCTTTATCATTCCTAGGCCTGGGGAAGCAGGGACCAGTGTTACTGGAACCCATTGGAGGAGCTGGATGAGTAACAGCAGATAAAGGGGTACAGTCACTGCCAAACCATGGCCAGTCAGGGAGAGAACAAGGTGAGTGGCCAGTCAGTAAAATCAGTCCCCTTATCACTTGCAACTTCCATTGGTTAAACCAGAGCACAGAGAGCAAGAATGCTCAGGAAGTGATACAGTCCAGAGAGATTGGCCTCCCAGGGCAGAATATAGGGTGGAAAAGGCAGAAAATGGATCTTAAAGGACAATGGAGCATGATCAGCTCAGTCTGTTACCAGAATAAAGGCTTGAGCTCAGGTGAGCCAGCTTCACAACCAGACTGTAAGGCCAGGACCAGAGTCACCTCCACTTATCAGCATTTCCCACCCTCACCCCCATGTGGCTCCAGTATGCGTGATGGTCAGGTGACTATATCAATAGGAGTGGAATCCAGCAATAAACAAGCAAGATTTGCAGCGAGGTCTGTGGCTATAGCTGGTCTAGCTCAATTTGTCCTGCTCTCCTTTGTTAAGAGGTTTTCCTACGTGCATACGTGTGAGCTGACGGTCAAGGACCATGACTGTTGACTGTAGCCTGGATTCTCAGGAGCTCCCTTGGCCCGGCCTCTGCCTGGCCCACACAGCAGCCCGTAGTGAGCCACTGGGGCTGTAATTTAACTCTCAGTCCATTATGTGACTATCTATGGTCTCAGCATGTTGCCCTGGCGCTGTCTCGCCCTGGAGACCCTATTTCTATTCTATTGTGCTTGCTCACAGATGGTAGCTGTAAAACTGGCAAAATAGGTCTCACTGTTTAGAGCCTGTCTGGTTAATCTCAGAAGTCACGTTTTAAAAAATAGCACTAAATCGGTTCTCATATAAACTTTATAACTTGCACTTTGTGACTGGTGTCTTATCTTTTGACATTTCTGAGAAAAATTGGATGTGGCTTCATTTTATGAGCACTGGAACTGTAGAAGCATTAGCAATTGGCTCAAAAGCTCTTTCTTGTCAAAATAGGATGATAAATAACCTTGGCAATGGGAAGTAGGGGGCAGTTCAGTGTACCTTGGGATACCTCTTTGGACACCCCACTTGCTGAGGATCCTCTTTGGCTATTTAGAGGAAGGAATACCTGGCGACATTTTATGGTCCCAGTAACTGTCTGAGAATAAATGTCATTTGCAATTTATAGACAGGAAGCTAAGACACAGTGACAGTCCTGAAAGTAAGCATTATAGAGTCAGGGACTATTGCCAACTCTTTAAATAAGCAAAATTATTTCTAATATTTGAAGTTGCATTTACAATTGAAATAAAAGATTATTAGTCATTCTCAGTAGGTGTTTTTTAAAAACTGCTAAATATAGGCCAACTACCTAACACAATGAAATAACCTAGGAGGAAGTAAGACTTCGAAGAGCCACGTAGATTTAAAATGTTGGATGATACTTACTTGCAGTAAACACAGCAGCCTGTCATTAGAGCTCAGAAACTTTATTTGCCCTATAAAGCAGTTTCCAGGAAAGTTTTCTTGGAAGCCACACCTGTGTTTTTTTTTTTTTTTTTTTTTTTAAAGATTTATTTATTTATTCGTACAAAACTGGGGTACAGGCCAGAGATGCGGAGGGTGAGAGAATTCACCAGAGACAGAGTGGGGTGCAGAACAGGCAGATTGACGAAGTACACTGCTGAGGGGAGCAGCGGGCCGGCCAGGAGAGGTCTGCCACGCCATGTGGTCACCTCCGGGGCAGGTGGGGATCGAACTCATGTGGAAGTAGCTTTTGATTCTTAGTACAGTGCTTTATAGTACAGTGCTTTAACCCACTGCGCCACCAGGGAGGGTCCCCACACCTGTGTTTTAACTACACTCACTCACAGATACCAACTGTACTGAAGCTTTGTCTAGGGCTAAGTGAAGTGACTGAAATCCGGGCATTTCAACAAAGACAGAAATGGAGAAAGATATAAGCAAATCGCCTGTTTTACATATGCCCTTTCCTTATATTGTCAGAATGCTCCTGATTATCTTAACAAGTATTTGGAAAATGCTCTCCCACAAATTAATTTCATTTTATGATTGCTAAAATTTAATCATTTTATGATTCTTGTCAACTTCCAAATTCATGTCAATCTTCTACGAAGAAAGAAAATCCCAGAAAGTCATCATTGTAAGTCATAAACACTACTGGATGGACTTTTCTACAATTTCATAGATATTTCCCATAGAAACATTTCCTTTTTTCAAGCTACTAGAGGGACATAACAGGGTGAAGTCACTAACATGACTCTATCAGCCTTACATTTGGGAGGAATAAAAATAACCTTGTTTCACTGGAGCGTGGAATTTAATTGGCTCCCGATCTTTCTCCCTCATGCATCTGGTGGCCAGTACTACAGTAGAAAATTTTAAGCTAGAAGGAGACATAATCCAATTAAATTTCCTTTTAAAAATGTCAAAGCAAATAAACCCAGGGCCCATTAGCTCACACACAGCTTTGCTGTTCTCACCGGGCAGCTGCTGTTTACTGGGTTTCTATCCAGTACTGTCTTTGCTCCCATTGCAGGGGTGTGTGATTTTACAGATCGGCAGCTATATTTTTTCACCATTGATGAACAAGTAATTTGTTGCCAACTTTTTTTGACATCTTAAGTAGCTCTAGTGACAGCCAGCTTGGAAATGTCATGTGACTCTCACAGACAATGATTCCCAGCTATTTTTGAGTCATGCTTTGGTTTCATTGTTGAATTTCACTGTGTGTGTCTTAGTTCTTCTTCCAGCAAATGTTATGTGCACATATTGTTTATGCTCCAGATTCAATCAAGTGTTGTTTTCAGGTTGGGGACCATCTCTTGAGTTACCTGGAAGTCACATTAGATGCTCTGAATCCATCCACAATTTGTCAGGAACTTTGTTCCAAGCTGTGCTGTGACTTTCACGGACATTTGATTAATGTTGATAAATGAAAAATTGCATAATGTCTGACTTCCCCTAGGGACAGACTTGGAGACAGGATTTATGTGTGGATAGCTTTTTGGGGAAAGTGAAAGGAACATTAGCAAGGTAGTGGGGAGTGAGAAACGGAAGAGAAAGAGCTAAGTTAGGGCATATTATACAAGTACCAATGCAGATTCTAGGGGCTTAATCCAGAGAAACACGGATCCAGTGGTCCACATGTACCTCAGGGTTATCCCACCCAACGTGCAAAGAAGCTGTGGTATTCATCCATGAACTCATTGTTTGACGACTGCTCCTGAAGTAAGGAGTAGAATTAATTTCCAGGCACTTGTGGCATGTCACAGGCACAGCCACAAGTGGGTCTCGGAGGCCAAAGAAGAGCTCTCAGGGAAGGGAACTTGGGTACTGGTTGTGGCAGTCAACCTGGTGTGTGCCAAAGTGGAACGGGTGAGGATGTCAGGAAGGGCACCGCCATACACAGACACTGTAAAGATCCCAAACACCCAGCGCTGGGGGTTGCTGTACAGCAGAGCTAACTGGCTCATGCCCCTCAGGGTGTGAGGGAGAGACTGGCGTGGATGGTCTCTGCTTTTCTAAAATTATCATACAGTTACTACCACTCAAAATTTCCATGCACTGCTTGGAAGACAATGTGATCTGAAGTTTCCTTTATATTTTGTAGCCAAGTGTGAATAAAAGGTTAGTGAAGAAAAGCGTATTTTAGCTTACAACCCTGTAATATTTGGGACATTTGTGGATTGATCGTAGTCAGGCAGTAGTAATTTAGGCATTTCTCGTGTCACCAAACACTTTTTCTCAAAGAGCTTGGTCATGTGATCCCTTTACATAGAGTGAATTAGAGCAAGATTCTGAAGAATCCTTTACCTTCTACTTTCTTGATGCCCCATGCCCTCCTCTGAGTCTTTTAAATTTTGCCTCCCACTTCTTCCTTCTTTGGATCCCAATTTGACTCCTGTTATCCTTTTAAACTAATACTTGTAAAAATGCCTACAGCTGAGGCTTGGCTACAATTCTGATAGCAGTTCCAATATGTCATATACTTTATTGCTTTTGTATTGAAAGATTCTATTTTAAAAGACCTATTAGGGACTAATGATTTTGAATGTATATATTTGTGCTATGTTCCTCTGCACCAAGGTCATATTTAAAATACTCCTTTCATTGGTAGACTGGAGAAACAATAACCAAGTAGCCCGTTTGGATTTTTAAAATTAAATTTTTAACTACGTGTAGAAGGACCTATTGCAGCAATAGTGCTGCATACGGTGCAATCACTTAAAATTTCAGTGGTTCACAGCAGCAAACATTTATTTTTCCTGCCCTTGGGTGTAATGGTCAACTGAGCTTGGTGACAGGCCCTAAATTGGGTCCAGTCTGCTCTCTACCTGTGTCCTTCTGGGACCAGCAGACCTGTTCTTGTGGAGATGCAGGAGAAGAAGAGACCAAGTCAAATCACGCGAACACACTAGGGTAAGAGCTTATGGTACAATCACCAACATACATAGGATCAGGCCAGTCGTGTGGCCAAACCAGTATCAGGACAGAAATACTCTATAGGAGGTCCTACCAAGTCACAATGCAAGAGTGTGGGTGTAAAATCCCAATGCAGACAGGGATGAAGAATGTAGCGCAAGAATCCAGTCTCCCACAAAGGCCTTAAGATCTGACAGTAGATGGTAGAAAAGCTTGTTTTGAAAATAAACTATTTACAAGAGCTTATCTCAAGACAGAGAGCAATTTGATGGTGTGATTACAAAACTACAGTTTGAAGTGTGGTTCTAATAATTTGTTTTTCTTCTTAGAGATGTGAAGATGAGTGGATCGGGATGCCATCACCTATTCCTGTGAAATATATCGATTATTTCTCCCTTATAAAGGATCTGTATGGCTTGGAGGAGGACTAACCATGCCAGTTTTCATTAGCTCCCTTTGATTTCCTTCCCTGATTTTGACAACTGTATTTCAATTTTCAAATACAATTTCATATTAAAAACAAAGAAGGAACAAAGTTCATATTAAATTGCAATCCATAAACCACAATCTCCTTTTGTCATTTTAGTTTCTCAGAACATCATATTATATTGCTGATGTGCTAACACTATTAAAAATGCCATTTAAAGAACCACTGAACATTTTTATTATATGTTTGATTTATTAGTACTGAAGAATCTTATGGTAATTTTCTATTCAACATAATTAGATTCATTACAACACAAAAAGAAAGTGACTTTTAACAGCTATACAGGACAATATAAAATCAAATTACATCAGAGCAATAAACTGTGGTTCTCTTAAACATTTGTGAAATCTTTTTGACACATTTATTATTTATATAATTAAGTTTTATATATTACTTATATAATTCACCTTATCTAAATCCTTAAGCCTCTCTGGAGTGAAGGTATTTATTTTCTGAAATTTACAAAGCTATTTGGAGAAAAGGACTCTCCACCTCTGCAAAACACACACAGAAACACAATTTGGGGAGAGGAATTGAAACTCATTCAGTGTTTATATTTTTAATGTCCTTTATATATGCAAAGCTTGCTAACTTGGAAATATATCCAAGTTATTATTATAGTATTATTATTATAGTATGACCAAAATATATCTAAAATATTTACAGATGTTAATACTGAAAATTTATTTAATTTTTTTTTTTATTGAGGTAACATTGGTTTACAAACCTGAGTGTGGTTCAGAGGCACAAGATCATATCGCCTCAGATGCCTGTCACCACACCAAACCCAGAATCCAGGCACCTGTAGTCCTTCACCATAGACCATTATGACCCCTTCCCACTGTGTTCCCTCCTCCCTCCTTTTATAGTGTCAATTCCACAGTCAGATGTGAATGCTGAAGGTTTTGAGATATCTTTTTTGGTTAATTCTACACACACACACACACACACATCCACCCTGCCCACCAAAGAGGCTTAAACATTTTAAGAGTACATGTTTCCCTCCTGTATTTAAATCCTACTTTTATTTGTCTTCTAGGTCTGTCCATTGTGATTCTCAGTAGAACTTGTATCATGTAGTGTATATTTAGTTAAAAGCTGTAGGCATAAAACTCTGCGGATTCATTGAAAGAGGTCTGTCCCAATCTACCCCATTTTTCATTGTTGACTGTTATATTCTCAAATATGATGGAAGACCATGCAGAAGGGACTGTACCTTTAACCTTTCCAGGATGACTCTAAAGAGAATAGGAATAGAAAGCTCCTTCTAGCTCATTGATTCACACCTTATTTGTCACTTCACTTTGTCTCTCAAAGAGCAGACGTTTTTTGGCACTCAGATGCAGAATTTGCATGACAACAATGGCTCTTTCAGTTTTTTATATTAAAATTAACTATATATGTAATATATAACATACATATATATATGAATATATGTGTATATGTAATATATACATGCATATACATGTGTGTATATATGTATATATAACTAGGAAAATTCTGTATGTGCCATTTTTAGGATAGAACATAACAATAAGTAAGGGTACTCTTATGTATCAGAACCATCTATCCATAATTTTGACTACTTGATTTTTGTCGCAGGTTTGTATGTGTTTTTTGTTTTTGGAAGACATTGACAGTGCCAAGACATTTTGTCACTTTAAGATTTTCCATTCCCCAGAGAGCAAGCTTTTAGAAAGATGACATTTTCCTGGAACTTTTCAGACTGATATATTTGCCATTTACCTATTCCACTCTTCAGTTTTCTTTTCCTTAAGGTTTTAAACAGGTAGATAATTTAGCTTCTCTATAGACTTATGATATAGTTTGAGAAGTGGAAGGAGAAAAGTAAAGGAAGCAAGCCACTGATGGGCTTTTGTGTCTGTAATGTGAAAACTGCCTCTTCTATCGCATAGATGTATGTCACTTTCATAGATATATGTCACTTTCATAGATGTCTGTCACTTTCCTAGTTGTTCACAGTTCAAACTCACTATTAGCAATTAAATGGCTGTTATAGGAATCATGCCGATAAACATGATACATTGCAGTCAAACAGACATTTTAAATAATTATTCTTTTATAACAGTCCTATACTGAAGGAGATTTATAATTTAGAGATAATATCCCCATTAGTAAAGTTTATGACCCAATAAATAGTTCCCACTAGTTAATAAATGCCAAAGCCGTAAAAACAAAGACTATTAATGTAATAGAAATTCTGTACCTCCCTCTTCTGCTGGTGGTCTCAGGGCACTGAAGGGAAATGCTATCTTAGGAAAAACATTTATCCTCGTTATATAAATATCTATGAACTGTCTTACAGTCCATCTGGAAATCTCCTAGCCCCCCTTGGTCCCAGGTGGTCCCAAAATGCTGATGCATTTCTGCTTAGGTTTCAAGCAGTAGATAACTAGTTTTCAGCACAAATAAAACCTGTGACACTAATCTAAGGGGGGAAGTAGGAAAACTGGCTTGAATTTCTGCCTGCTCTTTTCCCTCTGAAAAAGGGAGTTACTCCAGAGTAATGTATTTTTTTTTAAACATTTCACCACCTTGCATATACTTCAATTCTTAGCTTCCCCTTTCCACTGCAAAAGAGAAATCCCACATCTTGTCATTGTTCAGGATAATTTTTAGAGGCGTTTCACAACATTTGCAAAATGTGTTTTTATTTTTAACTGTCAACATCTCATTTTGATGGAAGAGCAGGCACTGTCTATAATCTGTGCGAGCTACAGGTTAATATAGGTCCATGTTTTATACTAAGAATGCATCATTTTTCAGTATTAGTATCTGGGGACTGTGGGAATGGTTAATAAAGTCACTCCAAATTATGTCTTTCATAAGAACCTGATTAAAAACTGTTAAGTTCACAACAAAGTGGTTTGCTGAGTCATTGATATAAAGTGTGGGTGTTATTAGCAGATTAATTTTGTGTTTTTTTCCCTCCTCCTCCACCCCCCCCCTTTTAACTATTTGGACTTAACTATTTGAAAAGTAATATATATATATGTATACACACACATACATATTTATGTCTAATGGGGTGCTGATAAAATGTTGGGGTTCAGCGGAGTGGGGTGCTCTGAGAAAAGTTTTGGCAGAGTTCTCCTTTCAGCAGCGTGCTACAAGCTTGCCAAAGAGCTGACATTTTCACAGATGCAGGCAGGTGAAGGTTAAGTCCAGAAGGGCAGATTTTTTAGAAAAAAAGAAAAAAATGTGCTTGCACAGACATAAGTGGGCAGAAAGAACTGCCCTTTGCCAGAGTTGTTTGATTACGTGTTCTTTTTGGGGTGAGGGATTCATTCCTTGGTGGAATTGTAACCTGTTGTTAAATCAACACTTCTAAGGTGGGATGGGTTAATGTTTAAGGATTGGCGATTCTCTAATGGCCCTCAATCCCCACATCCCCTCGCCTACAGATATTTTTCTATAGTAGTTCTTTGTAATGACTAAACATTCCCATATCCTCACCTCCCAACCTCCCAGTCCACTTCCATAAGGATTTTTCATTTCTATAACTGGTTTAATGACAATATTTAATGACCTTCATTTTCTGGTCTGTGACAGCTCAGTCCCAAATTTTCTGCTCTAAGCCTTCATGAAGTCTATTGATTGAATTTGATGCTTACTAAAATAGTTTAAATTTTTAAACAATAAAGGGATGAGCATTGTCACTTTCAAGAATAGTCATAACTTAAACATTTTGCCTTCCTTTTATACTGCATCTGATCTAGTCAATGTCAAGCAGATCATTTTTGATCTTTGTTTTTATGCCATCCTGTTTGAAGTTTGATCGTTTGAGGTTGTAGACTTTCCAGACTTCATGGGCAATTCCGTCATGAGTTTAGGATATTTAAATTGTCTTTCCTTCTTTCAAATAGCAGGGGACTATTGATTGATGAACAAAATGAAATCTTTCTAAGTTAAAAAACTCTTGCCTCTCAAATTGGATTTATCTTAATTTGCATGAAAACTGCTTCATGAATTTCCTTTTGTTCTTCGTTACCCTGTCCCATTCTTTATGATTTTGCTAAAGTTGCACAGTGGGAATCTTTGATACCAGTTAATGAAATAGTGGGGTTTTACAAAATATTTATGGTGTTTAATGATGTAATGTGGAGTCCATTGAATAATAAATGTTCCCAATCATTTGTATATTCTTTTTAGTTAAGAATATAGATTTCCCTAATTTTGAATGCCCTACAGAATTTGTCTGTAAATGGTCTTTCAAACAAACAACTTTCAAATGATATTAAACATATTCTCAAGTGATGAGTCTCTGCCCTAGTATTTGTTTAGGCAAAGTTTGAATTGGTTCAAGTTGAAAGCAGGTTAAGACCTTTCCGAAAATGAGTCTTTTCAAGTTGACTGAGCATGTTCAGAGACACTGAGCTGTTCAATTCCTAAGAGAATGTAACATGTAGAAATGGAAAACCCACTGAGGCAAGATCAATGAAGCTATTTAGCAAATAAACCTGGAGTGATAATGGACCAAACATCATTATTACCAACTGTAGCACTGACTGTGCAATTAGTTTAAGAGAAATTGTGATTCACCCCCACTCACCTTCTACCAGGTTATTTATTGGTTTAAATAAACATTTTCATTCAAGGTCAATTAAATTCCCTAACGCTGAGTTCTGAGACCAGAATATGCATCTTCTTTGCTGTTGTTCCTGGTCCCCATCAAAATTCCTTCCAAGGGGATTTTCGAGCCCATTATGTGTCTGTTGTGTGACACAGGAGCCCAAGGGTCAGCGCTGCTGCTCAGAAGCAACTTGTAATGGCTGAAAAATGTGGCCAATGAAAAACTCCATGGTGGCTCTGCAAGTAGAGAATTAATGACTGGCTGGAATCAGTAGGAGCCTTTACTTCTAAATACTCATTAGTTTAAGCAGTGGGGCCTGATGTTATGCATGTTAGTGAGGGAAAAGGGGACCGCCCCTCCCCATTGTCTATTTTGAACAGAATATGCACATTTAACTCCAAGTGGTGAATGGTTCAAATGCTTCAAACCAACTATTCATCAATCTCCCGGCTTCCTGAACAGCACTTTGCATCTGTGTAA